TTTTCTCAACAAAAGCGTATCTTCTTTAACAATATCTTACTTGTGAATTCAGGTATCACATACCAATATAATTATTTCCGATCGGTCTTCTATGTTCATGCCATGGCGGCCATAGTATACTTATATAAGTTGTCGTGAATTCTTCGTATTGCCACGGAGTTATTGAAATGTCGATACCATTATTCCATCGACTCAATTTCTGTTTTAAAAAGTCAAAATGTATCAAACAGTAGAAAAATTCTTGTAGCATATAAATTCAGATTCCGATTACTTTGTACAGGACAATGTAACGGATAATACACATACTATGAAATATGTTCTTTCATTGAAACACGAAGAATAAAATAGGATATTTATTTAGTTTAAAGAAGCAACCTTCTACGACCTTGACCTTGACATATATATTATAGGGAGCACTCTCCTGAATAACCTTTCAAAGGTTTTAGCCGTCGTTCGTTATTTATTAAAACGTTATTAACAAAAATGTTTGAGAAATATAATAGTGCTAATTAAGGAAAGTCAATTTGCTGATATGTGTTTATAGACAGTATATATGTGGGCGGAAGAAGGATTCATGCAGCTTCTTCCTTTTTATGCATAAGTCTATATATATATACACCTCGTTATACTATACATGCTTATTACATACTAGAGTTCTATCTATAATACGGTGTTAAAGAAATCTATATTCTATTTATATATTTTGTTAATAACTTTTTAATCAATAACGACAGCTAAATCTTTGAAATGTTATTCAGAAGAGTGATCTTGGCTACATATGTCAAAGTTAAAGTCGCGGAGGGAAATTCATCTATTTAAATTTTTCTATTTAAATAATTACCTGAGATGGTTCTTCATAGTTTGAAAATTTGGGTGGTCCAATTATGTCAGGGGCAGTATAAAATACACTGTGATTAGAGTGGATTTTAACGTGTCTTTTCTTCACAAATTGATAGATGAAGTCAACTCTAATATCCTCTTCTCCCACGGATTTTCTGCCGATATAAGGATATCGACCACAACTCTCACCATATAAAAATTGGCAATTGGATGCCATATTTTCTCTCTGAAAGAAGACCAAAAATATGAAGAATAATAAACCTTGCTTTTGTAGCATATGCTAAAATGCATTATAATATCATATATTTGTAATTATAGCATAAAGATTATATAATCTAAATTCATCTTCCTTCTATTCACATTATTGCTAATACTGACACTATTGTCTGCATGTGTATTACGTAATGTAAACTATAGATTTTTAGTTAACTAAAGATTTTAATTAACAATACATTGCAAATCTTGTTCTACAGAGAATAGTGTACCATCCATATATAGCATCTATTTTTAAAAACATTAATTTTTACTGAAACTATAATTTCTTTACTTTTCTATTAACAAATTGTATTATTATTATAGAATATTACGAATAAATTGTTAACAAATAAATATTTTATATATTTTAATTTTGATCTCAATATTCTGCATTGTATTCTTTTTTATGAAATAGATAGATTGTCAATGCATCGTCTCCCGGCTAACACCCGCCGGATGCCTCCCGACCATCCGTCGGGCGAGGATAAGGCGCGGTGCGCCCACCTTTTTTAATTCGCTCAAAATTATCGTGTGCACGAGCGGCCCCGACGAACCGCGACGGGAGCCGATCTCCGCCGAGCGCGCGTAATTCATCTGCACTGCTCCGCCGCGTGGCTCGCACGAGGATCGGCCTCTTCACCGAATCTATCGACCCCTTTATAAAAATCAGCGCCGCGGCGAAAGAAGACACTTCGACTCGAGATCAGCAACCGATCCGCTGCTCCCGAAGAGAAGAGACCTAACCATAAACTCCTAGGGCGACACGCAAAACGGGGTCCAGTAATCTGTGCCTCGTCCAAGAAGTCTTGGTCGTCACCCGAATTTCCGTAGTCTGACTTCCCGGGTCGATTGAACGAGGTGAGCGCATGGCAAACGCACGTGGCGGGAAATAAGGCAAGGAGCGAACTTGAGAGACGTGACGTGGAAAAGCTGAAGGGAGGGATCGGGAGAGCAAGGAAAGGATTGGAAGAGAGAGAGAGAGAGAGAGAGAGAAGGCAAAGGGTGAATAAAAGTAAGTAAGGGAGAAGGAGGAGAGAGGCAGGATATGGGTTTAAGATTTTCCAAAATGTATTTTTTATCTTACTCAATGTATCTTTTATCTCATTTTCCGATACACGTTACACCATGTTCACCAAAGAAAAAAAATTGCAAAATTAAATTGCTTACGTTCGCTACACTTACGCTATCTAGAATACTTTAAGACCGCACTCGACTGTACGTCCGCACTCTTCAACAGCTAGGCGAGAAAAGACCTCGACTATCCTCGATCTATCCCGACCTTTTCTTCCACCATACGCAGCGAGCGCCTGGGCGGTCGCGCCATGCACTTGTATGCACATCTGCCATCTTCTTTCTCTTTCTATCATGTAGCTCTCTCTCTCTCTCTCTCTCTCTCTTTCTTCCGCTCAACGGAAACTTTGGGTCCGTTCAGTAGTCCAGTCAAATTAGACAAAAAAAAAGGCTTTTGCTCGGAAGTGAAGCGGTATCAATGAAACTTTTTTAGGGTTGTTGGGGGGATATAGAAGAGCTTAATTATTTCTGAGTTGTCGGGTTAATCGGACCGATGGGTTTTTAAGGGGGGGAGGGGGAATGAAATATTTCGTTTTTTTGCAATAACTCGGCGAATTTTGACCGTACATGATTGACTAACCTTTCATTTTGTAGCTCTTTTAAAGCCCTACTATTCATTTCGTGAAGACCCTAACTTAAAATCAATATTTGTCGAGTTCTAGCCGGTGAAAGTGGGAAAAAATGTATTTTGTCGCGGTTTATGCGTTTATCTCGTTTCCATTAATAGATAGAAATGTACCGCCACTGACAAAGTTGTAGGGCTTGAAGAGACCTACAAAACGAGAAGTCAGTCGTTCAGATTCGTTAAAAATTGAGCCCAGGGAAGCCTCTGGAAGCCGTGTTTTTAACGCGTGGCCGATCGTCGCCGCGGCGCGCCGCCGCCGGCGACGATCGGCCACGCGACGCACAGTGGGGCGAACGCCTCATTTTTCGGTCATTTGCTTATAACTTCTACATTTTTCAATGAAATGACTTGAAACTTGACATAAATAATGTACGATTATTATACATTTAGTGTATAAAATCAAAATTATTTAATTAACAATCATAAAGCGCATAGATAATTTTTTTATTTTTTAAATACTTTTTAGTTTTTTTTAAGTCGGTTCTATTTTTAAAAAAATTTTTTATTTTATACTTTTTTAGTGCTTCATTAAATTAATATGAATAATTATTATCACATATTTTCTTACTGCTTCGTACCCTGATGTTTTAGCGCGATATTTTATGTACAACACCTTTCTGAAGAATTGCTCTATAGGACAGTAAAAACCGCATTTAAATCCGTTCAGTAGTTTTAAAGAAAATCGTAGTCATACATACATACATACACGCCGAATATATATAGAACCTTCATTTTTTGAAGTCGGTTAAAAAATAAAGTTAATTTGATTTTCAATGATAGTCTTAAACCTCGGAATGTTTAATTTTTGTGAGTTTTATAATAGAAAAGGAACTGTTTTTCTTGCTTCTCACATCTATTTCTTGAACTTAATCATCATCTACATCATTATCGCTGAAATATAATAAACATTTTGCATCTTCAGTTAATTCTTTCTTTTTATGTCCCATAATTTTTCGCGAATTAGATATTATTGGATCTGAAGCAATTATCAAATTATTAAAATATCTTCATATTTTGTATTCGCGACATTTTTCGCGAATAATTTTCTCTATATTTTCTAAAATATTTATGATTTGCTTCATGAGCATCTTCAGATAATTGTCCTATTGGTACGATAGCATTTTTTATAATATCACTGCCATGAATCAATAATTTGTGGACTGAGACTGGCATGTAGTACCATGGGTATAATGATACAAATAATTCGGCAGTTCTAAAAGCATAGGATTCGAATTCCAACACGTTAATCCTATTACCGCTAGCGATTACTTGCAACAAAACTCCAAATCGAGTTATTAAGTTTTTATTCCTATTTGTCCTATTTCTAAACCTGTAATGGCAGCTGATAATTCTGGATTAGCAAAAAATTTTTTGGCCGTGTTGCCATCATTGGATGTACCTTTTCCTTGTTTCACGAAGTCTATCAAGAGACCTGCTTTTGTTCTGAAGGCAGTCTGTATCTCTCTTTTTCTTTGCTCGACTTTTCGTTTATGACTCTCATTCCTCGCTGACCAACATTTGATATTAATTTTATACGAAATATGTAATAAGCATTCGAAACAGCGAATCCAACAATGTAACCGTAATTGTAATGTAATTGTAATCGTAACGGCTAGCTATCCATTTTGACTTCAAATTCTTCGTGTTTATGAATTTTTGTTTCAATGGTTTCAACGCGATTTTGGGTAATTCAGTATCAATACATGATATTATGTGGCTTATTAAAGTCTCATAATTTGATAAATCAAGACTATTTGCACGCATACAATTAAAAAGTTGACGATTCGTTCGGAAATTTTCCATTTTGCGAGCGTGTTAAATAATCTTCTATATACTTTATATATTCTATATATTTTTCACTGTATCCTGAAAAGGACGCAAAGTGAATTGTATAAAGCAACGACAAAAATCAAAACTTTCAAAATCAAAAAGTCTTTAATCGACTACTGATCGAGAAAGACTAACGAAAAGTTCTTATCTCCGCTGTTTTTATTTTCTCCTCTTCCCCTCCCCTCCCTCCCCCGTCCCCATCCCCCCTCGAAGAGAACGAATAATTTAACGTAGAGCAATCTTATTGGCCCATGGATTTACAGAATGTAAGTGGCAGTACTCCAAATACATTTATCCAATAATATTTATCATATTGCTATTATATTAATTAATGTAATTAATTGTTATAAAATAGCAATATTTAAACAAATTATATATCCTCTTTCTTATATAATTATATATCGTTTTTCTTTTATGAGAAAATAGACATCCATATTTACTCGACATGATCGAACGTCGTCCACTGAGCTATTCATGGACGACGTTCGACTATGTCGAGTGAACTTTGAGGTCAATTATCTCAAAAAGGGGGACGAAGGGGGATGAATGATCATATATGGCCAAAAACTAGACACTTTGCCCTATCAAATGACGCAGAGTAAACCTTAATCCATTCTAATCCACAAACTTTCTTCCTGTTTGAATATTGAAGTAAGAAATTTTTAATAGTCGAATATGTCGTGTATATTTATTAATATATAATAGTACTCAAATAACATAAAACTAAAATAAATATGTTTTTTGAACCCTAATAAATAAGTTTTGATAGGCATTTAACTCATATTCGCAGTTATACTTTCGACGGAGACTTTAGAAAGTAACCTATCGAATTATTAGAATTTCATTATTCACGAAAATGTCATATTTTATCAGATCATTTTGAGGAAATAACAAAGAATAAAATCAATTATAAGCACATTTATTTATAGTTTAGGATATATATTAACATAAAATCTCATCAAAATTTGAATTATACGTTGTTCATTTTTTTGTCCAATATCCGGTTTTTGATAGATTCGCCCTACTGTGCGACGGTGCGCGTCGAGTCGAGTGCGCTCGGGACTCGGCGCCGCGGCGCGTATTTCGCTTATCTCTCTTTTCGAGTATAAAGTTAATGAAAAATTGTAACATAAGCGAGTGTTTTATATGCAACGAGCCGTTAGGCGGCGATAACATGTACGAAGTTAAAGCGAGAGGTGTGCAAACTCTGAAACGGGCAATTGTAGAAAGAAAAAACGAAGAACATCGGTGTTTGTTTTTTCATTATCTTTTTCATGTCTTTTATTTCACAATAAATGTATTATTTCATGATATTAAATAGAATTTAAACGCAAAAAACCGCGACAAAATACATTTCTTCCTACTTTCACCGGCTAGAACTCGACAAATATTGATTTTAAGTTAGGGTCTTCAGGAAATGAATTGTAGGGCTTTAAAAGAGCTACAAAATGAGAGGTTAGTCAATCATGTACGGTCAAAATTCGCCGAGTTATTGCGAAAAAACGAAATTTTTCATTCCCCCTCCCCCCCTTAAAAACCCATCAGTCCGATTAACCCGACAACTCAGAAATAAGCTCTTCTACATCCCCCTAACAACCCTAAAAAGGTTTCATTGATACCGCTTCACTTCCGAGCTCAAATATGTCTAATTTGACTGGACTATCAGGTGCAATTTTATGAACGCTAGAAACCAGCGGCAGAGTATGCAAATTTGACAGATGAGATGTTTTGGCAAGGAAAACGTGCTGTAGAACATATTAGCTGAACAAAATTGGACTTTTATACATTCTACATTCATGTTGAAAAATATCACTGTTTAGCCAATATACCTTGTTGTTGTTAGACAATAGAAATAAAGGATATAAACCGCATCAGCGGTTTGCGCAGGTGTTAGAATAGTGCAGGAGAGTTTGGTCTTATTGTTTCATATTCAATTTGAACTTTACATCTGAAAGTATTGTATTGTGTATTCAATTTTTACATCAATAATTTTGGATAGATATGTTTCTCTAAAAATATCTTATAATTTTTATATTTACTCAAAGTTATAATTATAATATAATAAAGTAACTGTTGTAACTAGATGTAATCTTAAGGGCCCTGTATACCCATGTCAGCCATCTTGAATTGAGAGATGAAATATGGACAATTCTTACGGAAGATCTCAAATATAAGGAGTCACCGTACGATTGAATATAAGCGCTCAAATAAAAGATGAAAGCATATTGTATTTACCTGCTCATTAAAATTTACTGGTCCTAATATAGAAAGTGTAGTAACAGTGCAATGAAAAATTGACAGCCGTCGACGTAGCACTGTTCTGGAAAATGGTTTATGGCACTTTATTGGATTATTATTTGAGGCAATGGACAGCACATTGACATAATCAACAAACTGAAGCTCAATAATGCACAATTTTTAGTACGATTAATGAGTTATTTTACCAATGAGATCTTCCGCAAGACAATTGTCCACTGTTTCCCGCCGCGAGCCACTCGAGAGAGTCGAGAGTCGACTGGTGGGGCACACGCACACAAGAGAAAGAACGTATCTGAGGGCACAGGTACGTGCTTTCTCTTGTGTGCGTTTCCCCCACCAGCCGACTCTCGAGTGACTCGCGGCCACATCGCGGCGCTCTATATCAAGCTACGAAGCCTCCTCCAGTAGGTGTCGTGCCACTCGACCGCTGTATTTTCCGTGACATCCAAGGGCCTTAATAAAAAATAATAAATTTAACGATATATTATATGACACCATAATTTTTTTTTTTTTTTTTTTACATAGGGCTTTAGCCCAGGAGAAGTACGAGGATAAAGCGAAGAGGAAGGAGCAACGTAAAGAACGCAAAGAAAAAGAACGAAGTAAGAAACGCGACGAAGACGATGGCGAAGGAGAGTGGGAAACCGTTTAGGGCGGCGTGGATATATTCCCTCCGAGAAACCGAAAATGTTCGCCAAGGACGCAGAAATTAATATTGGTGCGGTGCTGAAGAAGTTTTCTGAGATAATTGCAGCTCGTAGTAAAAAGCGCACGGACAGACGCGAGCAAATAGAGCTCTTGCACGAGCTACAACTACAACTGATAGCCGACGCTCAATCTCTCGGCCCGGCTGTAACCGTGAAGATTAAGTTTTCCATTGTATTTTCCATATTCGATTACAATCCAAAGGTTTCTGGTGCTATGAAGCCGGAATATTGGTCGAAGTACGTATTTTTGTATAAAATAGATATGTGTATGTAATGTAAATTTATAAGCCCTCTAAAATAGAAGATTTAAAATAAGCGAGTATTAAATAGATAAATATTTTTGTTACAGAATACTGGAGCGTATTACCGAGATGCTGGATATGTTACTGAGCAACTCGGACATGGTAATAGCGGAAACAATAACGGAAGAAATGGAGGAGTTTGAAACGACGCCATATAAAATACATGGTTGTGTGTTGACGCTGGTGGAACGTCTCGATGAGGAATTCATAAAGTTGCTGAAGGAATGTGATCCATACAGTAATGAATACGTGGAAAGGTAATGTCTTTTGAGAGAAATTATGCGAAATATATTGTACTTACTATTATTGTTATTTTTTATACGATAAAATATCCACTTGTCACAGATTGAAAGATGAGAAGCAGGTTGCTGCCATAATTGACAAAATTCAAGAATATTTGGAGAGGCAAGGAACTGTGTCCGAGCTCTGCCGCGTGTATCTTCGTAAAATCGAGCACATGTATTACAAATTTGATTCGAATGTTATGAAACAAAAGGAGGTAAATCTTGCAAAGTATATATATGTGCGTATA